AACCACCGGGCCTTGGCCCCCATAGGTCTGGGCCCCGTTTGGCCAGAAATCACATAACATGTTGCGTCGAGCGTAACAAATGCACCTTTCGGAGCAGACGGAACGCGGTGACCTTCTGCTGAAGAGCATCCTCCATCACTGTCCTGACTGGCTTGTCAGTGTTTCTGTTTTCTTCAATAGATTGCCAGCCACTCTTCCAACTGTTCGAGTCCACATCTAAAACTGTGCTTGGAAGAAAGGTTTTCTGTCAATTTGTGCTTGAAAATATCTTCGCAAAAAAATATATTGGCTTGCGTTATTTTAAAAGTTAATTTGCCTGTGGTGGCACAGACTTGCAAATTGCCAACTGCCAATGTTATGTTACATTGTTTCCCCTTTTTTCTTTCATTGTGGCGCAGACCTGGGAAGTAAAGGTGAATACAGTAGATGTTTTCAGCACTGCCATCCCTTCCCCCCCCCCCTACTAGTCCAATTATTCAGCCATCGGCGTTTGATTCTTGGCAGGTTTAATTACCCGCTTGATTCCGAAAACAGTGCGTGCAGTGGCTCTATGCTTCCTGGGTTCGCCCGGCTGTCGCGTTACTGCTGGCTTTGGTAATTATAGCCAAGCTGTTGTAGTGTTGTCATTCTGGGACGAGAAAGGCTTTTAGTTCAGTGAAAGGCCAGAGGGAAAAGGAGAAGAAGATGAAAAAGACCACGATCTGGACGAGTGACAGGCCTCTCTGCCGAGTCCAGGAGCTGGGCTGTCTTCCTGGGTTTTGTGGAGCTGTGTTGCAGAAACGTTAACCCCTTGTCGAACATGGACTGGTCTCCGCCTGCAACCGCCGCGCACAACAGCGCAGCCACGAACACTGGATGACTGTCTGGTTACGCTTCCAGAAGCTCCGTGGATTGGAGTCCAGCAATAGAGGGAAATATAACCTGTAGCGGTGCAACTGTCAGCAATTTGCCTCATATTTACAGTACCAGAGAGGTGCTCGTGTCGAAGAAAGGGACCTTTTGTTAAGAATCAGAACCCTCAGACTCTCCTTCTAAACCTTTGTTTCGATTTCTATGCAGGGAGTCATGCGCCGTGTTTTTGTTTGGGTGGTTTACTGTGGATATTTGCATAAGTGTAATTCATGCTTGTCTTCTTGTCCCCTCACCCCGTGTATAGTTGGCCCTTTTTTAGAAGAAGCATTTACTGTGGTCATGTATCTATAAGACCACACACAGTCTTGATTTGTGTAGCATTGGAGGCTGTGCGTGCTACCCACAGGGCGCTTGGGAAGGAGCATCCACAACGAAAACGGATCTCTTTTTTGAAGGGAAAGAAAAAATGAGTCAGATCCAAGAAAAAGAATTCCTTGTCATTTTTCATGCATATTTCATGCGACAGGGAATAGCAAAACGCGGGCATCATATGGGCATGATTTTCATATGCTTTAAAGGATTATTTAGCTGATGACTAAGCGCCAAAGATCTTCCAAAACTCCCATTCAGAACTCGTCGTCATCCACAATCCCCAGAATCCCGTTTATCTCTCAAAAAGCCCTCACACTCAGAAGGATAATATTAACCTTCAAAGATTAAAATAATACAGACATCACAAACACACTCAACCTCGCCACCATGGACGGGAACAGAAAATATAACCCCTCCAAATCCCACTTCGTTCTCCCTGTCCTGTTTTTAAATAGAAGGAAGCCAACTGCACAATAAGGGAAACAAGTGTCTCAGTAAATAGCCTGTGGCCATACCACTTAGTTGATCGCTCTACTTCAGGAGTCTGTGGTGGACTGGGGGAAGGCAGAAGTGCATTTGTGTGTTGCTTCCAAAATTGATCTCTTAATCATCTTCATAATTATTCAGACTCCGCATCATTGATCAGGCAGCCAGGCTGAAATGTGGCATGCAATCACACCCCTTCCCCCCCCCCTCAACCTAACCCTCTCCCCCTGGGCTCCCAATCCAAATCATCCTTCCTGCTGGTGGAGGACAAACCCAGATGCTGCCCTGTAAAACCAATCAAGAAGGGCAAATTTGTATATGTCCCGCGGGTAACAGTACATGAGGTGACCTTGAGAGTTTTGCTATATGGCTACGCCTTAACTCACGGTTATTAATGTTCAACATCGTTTCTAGTCCAAGTTTGTTAAATTGGATTCTCAATCTGTGATTTTGCGTCTCTTTGATTTCGGACAACATTCTGGTGTAAATTGTTGTCTACGCAATCAGGGTGGTTCGGATCCCTGAGGCCTCCTGCTAGTCAACATTGTCCTTGGTACACAATACAGGGCTGCCTGGGCATTATGGCAAAAATCATAATCTCGATTATTTAGTGTCAATAATTGTATTGCGATTGATTAAATGCGTACTTATTCATTGACTTTGAAAACATCCATGTTATTGGAGAAACATGTTTTTTGACACAGTATGTCTTTTAACAGTTGATTACCCTGTAACTTTAAGTAGATAATCTCATCTTAAAAACCCCCAATTTTTCTTTACTTATAATAATAATTTAAAAAAAAATCGCTTTATTTCGATTACATTGTTTTCGTAATCGTTGCAAGCCATAATCGCGATTTAAAATATGATTAATTGAGCAGCCCTACACGATACTGTAGCCCAAATTGCTCTATAGTTGTGTCTACGGGTTGGAAGTGTATGTAAGTATCTTTGGATAAAAGCAGCAGCTAAATGCGTGTAATGTTGTTGTTAAAATGTACGTTGCATATCCTAGACCCTCCAGAAAAACGATTTTTTCATCTTGGTGTTTTCTCTCTCGTGTGAGTTCCACACGTTCACTCTACGGTGTTGTTTACCTTCTGTGATGACGTCACCTCATCATCATCACTACTTCACGTCAAGACGAGTTAACTTTTTTTTTCTCTCAATTTTGTGTGCAAAAAAGGGGATTATGTGGCATTTTGATAAATATGTGGCCTTTTAAAAAAACTTCGCCATTTTGCTGATTATGCGGTAAATTCTGCGATCGCAGAATCGCGTTTTTCTGGAGGGTCTAATATCCAAATCTTTTTTCACTATAATGTATTTGCAAGTGATGTCAAACAGAACCTACAGTATGTTTTTATAAAAGGAATTTTACGATCTATTTGTTATATCTGCTTTATAGAGATTTTTGTTGGTATTCAGTTGTTTTGCAAGAATTGGGAATAACTCAGGCATTCATACAGTTGATAGGTATGTGTTGTTCTCCATGTCTTTGTTTTAAGAGAGTCGTAGAAGCAGCAGGAACAATAATTCTTTCGCTTGCTTGCTTTTCATGGATAAGTGAACACAGAAACACTGAACAGTCAATGGAGTGGAAATACTCACCTAATGTGCATCACCTTGATTTAGATGTATTACAAATGACCAAAGCAGGCTGCACTGCTCTGTGGTTGGAAGTGTTGTAAATCAGCGTGTGTTGTTTGGTTACGCTGGATTTACTGGACCTGGACAGTGTGATTTAGTGCCTTTCTCTAGTATCATATTTCCATCTCTGGCCCACGGTGTGCGAAATGCATTTTCATAAAGATATGTCATTATATATATTGGTATCATTGCTAACGTTTACCCATATTGCCAACCTCCACTGCAGCACCACCTCTTTCTCCATCTCCACTGCTAAGTGCTTCTTGCTGTGGATTTTCTCTCTGCTCGTTTCCCAGAGATTGGCTCTCAATCAAGTGGTGTAGGCGGCACCATAACGTCCTTTCCCTTGGTTTTTCAATTTGTGAAGTTTTCGTTTCTCTTAGCGGTGGTATTTCTGTTGCCTGTTCAGCCATGTTGGCTATCACTGCTTGTACTAACAGCCCAGTTACTCTCCTATTTCCTCCAAACAAACGGCTGTTGTTGCAGCAGGAAATGTAACCATCCATCTTTGTGCCAGGGGTTATTTCCCTGGGAAGACCTACCACACATCCAGGGCCTCCCACCACCTCACTCTGATTTGGTGTACGCTCTTAAAAGAGAACATTTGGCACAGCAGATATTTGTCTTGTTTTCAGCACAAGAAGTCGAAACTGACACTTCTCGCCAGAATTGGAACATGTCTCGTCCCGAAAGAAATGCACGTCTGTTGCATCTCCTTTTTTTAATTTGAGTAGATAGGCTCTGTCCTCACATGACATGTTTGGCTGCGTATCAAGAGGTAAACAGCATCTTGCCTTTGGTGACACAGATTGAAATCTCACATCTGATGAAATTTGGAAAAAACAAGGTCATTCCACATAGAAAAACAGGTTGGCTTCATTTGAAATTGGCTGACGACGCGTGAGAATCTGCTCTGAGCTGCGTCTATCTTGGCTCAACTTTGTTTTACACTGTTTGTTAGCATGTTGTTAAAAACGCAAGTGAGTTGGATAAAGTTCTCTGCCAGGTGGTTTTTAAATGTAACTTTGATTTAGGACTCAGCTGCACGACTTAGTTTGTGCAATTTGTAGATAAGGAAGCCTTCTTTATGAGCTTTGAAAGCAGGTAATCTTGTAAAGGCTGTGTGTAGCAGGACTGAAAGGAAAGTGAATGGAGAGCAGTCGAGTTGTGACTAAACGATTTGCTGGAGTTCAGACCAGAAATAGAGAGGGACACAACGAGTATTTTGTAATAAAAAAACTTTGTATTAGTTTTCAGTCAATGAAATGTAAACATTTTTTGACAGATCTATGTCCATCACAAGTTTCTACAACCTTAAAGGGGGGGTCGGTAAGTTTGAGAAACCGGCTCGAGTGCGCTAGAATTTGAAAATACACATTTAGAAAAAATCTGCCCCTTCCTTACAGAGCCCCTCCTCCAACACACACGAACGCGCACATGACCAATGAGGGCACGAGATAAGTTTGTGCACAGATGGAAGGCTGACAGGCAGGTAGGCCATCCAGTTACTTTAGCCGGGCCGGCTCAGATGATTGGTCGTGCTTTTTACAGTACTACGGCTTCCACAGATGATATTTATTAATGGATTTTTTGTCAAAGCACTTCAGATATTCATTGCTATCGGGATGTTAAGAGCATTCCATGGAATATAACAAAAAGTGTATCTCGAGCCGGTTTCTCAAACTTACCTACCCCACCTTTAAGTGTATTTCATCGATGGATACTGACCTTGTTGAAACGTGTTGTTTCTCTGCCCCTTTACTAAGGTCAGTCTTCTTCTTCTCCTCCTCTGCTTTATGTCCTTGCTTTGGCTTCTGTAAAAAAACGTAACAATGATGAAGGCAGGGTTTTCAATAAAATACACACAGGAAAGCTGAAATAATGTTAAAAAGAACAACACATTTAATTAGCTCACTGACCTTCAGCTGTCTGGCAGGGCCGGTTGTAACCCCGGAGGAGGAGGAGGACGAGTGTGAAGAGGAGTCGGAGTCCGATGAGGAACCTGAGTCTTGGGCCTCAGTCACAGCCACCCTGCCTTTGTGGGCTGTCTCCTGTTTCCTCTCCTTCTCCTCTCGTATCTTCTCCTCTTCCTGGTGTTTCCTCTCCTTCTCCTTTTGCAGTTTCCCCTCTCGTATCTTCTCCTCTTCCTGGTGTTTCCTCTCCTTCTCCTTTTGCAGTTTCCCCTCTCGTATCTTCTCCTCTTCCTGGTGTTTCCTCTCCTTCTCCTCTTCCTGGTGTTTCCTCTCCTTCTCCTCTTCCTGGTGTTTCCTTTCCTTCTCCTCTTCCTGGTGTTTCCTCTCCTTTTCCTCTTCCTGGCGCTTTCGCTCTTTTTCACGCTGCTTCTCCTCCTCTTCCAGGCGTTTCCTCTCTTCTTCCAGGCGTCCCCTCTCTATCTCCTGCTCTTGTATCTTCATTCTTTCTCTCTCCTGCTTCTGCTGTTGTTCTCTCTCTTTCTCCTCCTTCAGGCGCCTTTCTTCCTCCACGTCTCTGTTCTCTTGGAGCCTCTTTCTCTCCAATCTTTTCAGCGGAGAATCACCAAAACTGGCAAACGCGGCAGTGGAGTGTGCCGTCGCCTCTCCTGACAGATCCACAGCGGAGGTGGCCTCTGCCGCACGGAAAGCCCCCTCAGAGTCCATCCTGTGTGCGAGCAGAGAGAGGGGCCCGGGCCTTCGCTTCATAGAAGGCTCCGGACTGCTGGAACGAGAGCTCGAGTCAGAGTCTTGCCTCTGCATGGTGGAAGGTGGGAAAGACGGCCCCCTGGGACCACGCGAAGCCTCGGGCCTATCTCCTTCCTGGTCCTCTGTGTCTGGTGGGCTCTGTTTGGGAGTGTCAGGTAGGGGAAACAGGTCAGGGGGGGGAGAGGGAGGAGGGGTGGGGTGGCGCAGTTGCATTGGTGTGTGGTGTACCTGTGGTGGTGGGATGTGCTGGGGAGGCTGGAGCTTGCGTTTGGATCTGGCAACTGTTGACGGGAAGCTGGGAGGCATCTGCTGCGGCTGGGGCGGCGCTCTGTTTCCCCTCCGCGCCCCGCCGGGACCGGGCCCCCAATCCTCATCATCCTCGCTCTCGTCGTCACTGTCGTCATCATCGCTGTCCTCGCGAGCCTGACTCCCCCCTGAGACTCCAGCTGATCGGCTGAGGTGGAGGACGGGGTGCGCGGATCCCGGTTCGCTCGGTGCGGTGCCCTCCTTCTCCTGGGCTCGCGGCACGGCGGGGGGCAGCCCCTGGCGGTCGGGCTGGCCCAGGACGCGCACCGACAGGGAGGCTACGGCGCGGGGGGGAGACGGGGCCGGGGGCTCCTTGTGTCCCTGGTGAAAGGTGGCTCGCTGCATCCTAGCTCCTGGAGCCTCGAGGAACTCCTGGGGGGGGAGGGTAGGACCCAGGCCCATGTCGGGGCCACACGCCATCATTCCGTGAACCATCCCTGCATCTCCTCCTCCTCTCTCCTCTGCCCGGGGCAATAAGGGCTTGGGGGGTATGGAGCGATTCTTCTGGGCAAAGATATTTGAGTCAGACTGACAGATTGCACACAATTTATTTAGCCTTTTCTACTTGTGTCAGGTAAATATGTTTCTGTTTGAGTTACTTGGAGTGCGGGCACACATTATCATTCTTGCTGACTCGTTGTGTTTTTAATACTGACGTTCAATATCATCTCTGTCTCTATCAACTAAACAAATACAAATAAGTGAAATCCAAGATGACAATATGTGTAACATGTTCCAAGCAAGGGGAAGTCTTTGCCAAGTGTATGATTATAAAAGTTAGATTTTCCAAACATTATCGAAAAAGAAACGTTACAATGTGAAGCTTTGTGTGTCTAGTTCTTCGGGATAAATCCTTTCCTCATTTGAGGATTCAACACTTGGAGGTCACTGACCTTGTCACTGACATAGGAGGAACTGTCATTGTCCTCCGAATGGTCTTCGTCCTCCTCCAGCACGGCTGAGCTTTCTGTCAGAGGGACACAACACGAGGCGGGGGTTAAAGCTCAGCCTCAGTGTGAGGATTAATGGCACACACCCCCACGGTTGCTAAACCAAGACAACTTTTGAATGAGTCAGGATGAGAAATGAAATCATCTTCATTGGATCTTTGTGTAACACATTTAGAAGTACAGAAGTGTTTGACAATATAAAGTATTGCTGTAAGAGAAAGAGTGCGTGGGGAATAAAGACACAATGATTGTCCATCTCTTTGAAGTGTTATGACTAGTGTTCATGTGACAGAGAATGTGTTTATCGTCTGATTTGTGATTGTGTGTGTTGATGTTGATGTTACCGTCGACTGCTTCGTCCTGCTGGGCCTCTCTCTCCAGCCTCTCGTGAAGGAGCTCCTGCTGTTTAGCCAGGTACTGTTTTATGAAGCTATTCTGGCTCATCTCCTCACCAATCTACATCACAATAACATACATAAAACATCCGGTTATTATTTACGCTGTTATAATAATTGTTTGTCTTAGAAGGGACGATGCAATGGGTTGATCTCTGAGTTATACTTTTGAACAGATCGCAAATTGCCTACACATTAAAATAGTAACAGTAACTATTCTTACCTGCGAGTTGGGCTGCAGCCCACTGTGAGAGGACGACGACTTCTGGAGATTTTCGAGCATCAGAGCCTGCAGGGAATAAAGATGTGGGATTAGTCAAATGTTAAATACTGTATCATGAGCTTCAGTTTCTGTTTGCATTTAACTTGGCAATCGAGTTTTAGATTTTATTGTAAAACTCATACATTTTAGGTTGTTTATTTGCGAGTGAGTTGCTACCTTGGTCATTTCTACCCACTAAAGTGTATTTGTAATTTATCTGGTTACTTGATACTGTTAATATATCTTAGTTTTATTGAACTGATTAGTTATAAAGTATGTGAAATGTAAACAATTTAAGAAAGTATATTGAAATGTTATTAAATAGTTGAAAATAATGTAGGACTATGTTTTATTTGTTATGCCATAGTTAAAACGGTGGAGATACAAACATTTTAAATCCAGATACAACCTACAACTTTAATATGGAAAATACAATTGATAAATATTATAACAGAACAGTTAACCTAGTAAATAAAAGTATACCCATAATACTCTGTTATTAGACCCATCTTGACTGTTATCACACCAATGTTACACACAGTCAGAGACTGTCAAATGAACCCATTAAAGGGTTAAACCTATGGTTGTTTATGGGCTGGATATATTGTGCAAAACAACACTGTTTTATACAAAATTAATAACTTCAAACTAAATGGTGAAGCACGTAAAATGTTGTTTACATGGCGAAGCGCGCCCCCGACAAACACACACGCACGAAGCGCATGCACGCTCATGTACTGTACACTATGTGCGGCTGCTTACACTCAGTTTAGGCCTCGACTTGACAGGTGCACAGTTCAACTGTGTGCAACACGGTGCACTAAGTGAACTAACGCATGTACTGTGAACTCAGTCGGTTGGATAGTTTCCTGGTACTGTCAGTTACAAATAACCGAAAACAGAAACTGGTGTTCATGTGTATTACCGTGTGTTAGACGGTTTATTTATTCCCGCTTCTGAAGCCTTAAACCCACCATCTCTACTGAACTTAGATAGACTCGACAAGCTGCCATAACACAAGTGAAAACTCACCCCTTTCAGTCGCTTAATGAGTGCATTTTTCTGTCCGCTCTTGGGCAGGTTTCTTTGCTCCAAAGCAGCTTTTAAATCCGCAACCCGGAGCGATTGTAGAGGTTTTCCATCAAGCGTAATATCTTCGTCCGCCATTTTGCTCCCCTCCGCTTGTCTCAACTCCAACAAGCGTCGCTACGGCTGCTGTTCGGCGTCACCGTTCGGCAGTTTCCGTTAACACTCGGCTTTTCCCGAATCATAACAGAACCGTTGGAAGAAGAATTGTGCCAAATGCCAATTTAAGTTCATAAATAAACACTTCAATGCAATAATTACAAATCAAGACAGATAAAATATTAGCCTGAAGTGGACTAATTTGCATAACAAGTACTAAATAGGTACTTTTGTTCTTTTACTTAAGTACAGTTGAATGCAGAACTTTTACTTTCAAGTATTGCAACACTCTCGTACTTCTACTTTTACTCGGGATGTTTAGGCGTAACGTCTCTGAAGAAGGACATTATTTGTGGCAAGAAATACTCTGCAAATATAATACAATTAAAATGACAAAACATTTATATTTTTGACAGGCACAACGTCAATGAAAAATCCGAACACATTTTAATTGCAAAAGATGTATTTGTGCATTCTGAACAGTAATACAAGACAGACATCAAATGTAGTGTTAAAAGTAAAGAGGCGTATTACTGTAGGAGAAAAGTCAAATATTCACTTTTATACTTCAGTAAATACGGACTCAAATGAGTTCACATAGTGTAAAAAAAACGTCCTTGTACAAAAGAAAATACAGCCATACCTTGGAACTGTAATGTAACATTTATCTGGGAAAAAACATGTTGTTCGTTGTAAATGACCCAGTAAAATCACCCCATGGTAAAAGGATGTGCATATATAAAATGTAAGCAAATTAAAGCCATGCAAACTGAATGCAAATAACATAAGATTTGACAGTATTAAATATACTGCTAAAGGTTACTTGCTCTCTTCAAACATACAGTTTTTTAGAGCCTGTTTTGGCAGGCAGGGTTTCATCAAGCAATACTTCAAACCTCCACAAGGTGGCACTTCAGCAGAGAAGTTGCAAAAAAGCAAGAAGATAAAATGTTCCAAAGAATAATTTAAACTGATCCACACAACTGAGAAAGTAATTATGCATTGATACCGATTTGGATCTGAAAAAAAGGTAAGGTTAAGCAATATGACTGAGGATACAGAAGAGAAATCCCAACACTTGGAAGTATTATTATCAAGAGCACCTTTGTAGAGTTGAGATGTGTAGTGTAAATATGATAAGCATTATGATCCATCACAGCTTCTGCTTGTGTGCACACCAACATAATAACACGGTATAAATGTTTAGGGTCGAGGTCAGACTGAAGTACAATAGTCTAAGATGGAAAACAGGTAAGTGTTTTGTATTTAAAATGCAAATAAATCCCCCTTATTAATAAAATAAAGGGTGCTGTGCTTCCTCAGCTGGGCGATATGGTTAAAGATTTATATATAATGAATTATATATGCATCATACCCAGCCTTAGTTTCCACCTGACTTGAAACAATTAGATGGGAGAAAGCACTGTTGACAGGGGTAACGAGCATCTTATGGGAAATGAGCATGAAAAGCAGGGAGGTGAGCATGCAGATCATAACAAGGCGTGTGCAGACAGGTTAGCTTGGTCAACTGGTTTCTCATCCATTGCCAGGCTGCCATGTGACCGTGGGAAAGAACAGCATTAGGCATTTTCTCACCGAACCATCATTACTCACTCTTATCCGCTCAAATAGTTTCTCTGTGTCAGACGTCAGGATTTTAAATGTCTTAACGTAAACAGAACATTTATTGAGGGATTTGTATCCTTATTGAGTGGATTACAAGCTGTACTGATCTTTGCCTTGAAGTGGATATGGGTACTTCACAAACACAACACACTTGCACGGATTCAGTGGAGGCGAGGCAGACTTCCTACTCCACAGCCTATTCCATGTCTTCCATAATAAGCCCGAAACACTCGATACGCTGCTTCCAACAGCTTCAGAATGATCATCACAAAAGGCCGTTCAGGTTAACAGTAAAAAAAGTAGGCCAGAAACAGGATGCAAGGCCTCTTTCTGTGCTATTTGTGGAAGAGGGGGGGATGGCTGAATAAATAGAGGAAGGAAGGAAAATGGCTATCATGTGAAGGGAAGAAAATATGGCAAACACAATAAAGCAAAGCTCCCAAGATAAACAGTCCACACAGACACTCAAAGCCACGGAGAGCCTTCAAATATTCAATAAGTTAACACTCAAAAACACAAGTGTGCCTGGCTTCAAAGCACGGAGGTCAGTGTATCAACAAAAGGCAAACCGACACACACTTGAAGGACAGGCCCAACACTCACAACCCCTCAGCAACCACAAAGCATATTCCTTCGCTTGCTTCAATCCCACTTAAACCGAAAAAAAAATCATAAGGTAATGAAAGAGTCCGACAACAAATAAGGCATTTTCAAAGAGGGGAAAAATATGTGTAGTGTAAACAAAGTTGTTTTTTTTACGAGAGCGATACGGAAATATCATGAAGATATTTCCGCCAGCCGCTGCAGCAGCGTGGAGAAGCCAGCTGCCTGCTGGGAAAGCTCAGCGACCCGGTCCACCATTTCCTGCGTGGCGGGCACTGAAGGGTAGTTTTGTGCAGCTCCCTTTGTGGCCACGACAACCGTCTTCAAGGCCTGACAGAGCCGTCCCCCTGAGGTTGTGATCTAGAGAAGAAAAAAAAACACAATTATTACAACATTTAGACCCATTTGACATGTCCAACAGGACAAAGGCAGGTAGAATTTGTGCATTCATTCCTCAACGTTCGTGATTTCGTGAACCCTTCAGGTTTCTGTATACTGGGGGATACAGTGATTTGACAGCCTGTGTAAAGCGGGTACGATAACAGTTTAATAACAATGCGATAAGGGTTTAATAGTGGTGTAAAATGAGTATAATAACAGTCTTACATGGGTGTAATAACGGCGTAACATTATAAGTGTGTAATACGGAGTGTAATATTGGTGAAATACTGGTGTTATATTGTGTAATAGGGGTTTAATGTAGAAAATAGCAATCAATTCACTTTCCAAAATGTTTATATGCGACTATATGTATTTTTTTATTTCTACATGCCTTGGCGCGGAGGTCTGCAGAGCTGAGAAGGCGGGAGAGCGTGTCCCCGATAAAAACCAGCTTGTGCGCCGTGACGATGAGACTCTTCCCCCTGGCCACGAAGATGCGGGGCGGCTGGTTCCCCTGCACGCTGCTGAAGAGCACGTCGATGGCGTCCGCCAGGCATGAGAGGTGCGCCAGGCTCTGAGACGAGTAGAAGGACAGCAGCTCCGAGTCCTCCAGCGAGAGGGACAGCGGGAGGGGGGGGGACGGGGTCAACTGTGCAAAGAAAGAGGGAATAGTGTCAGTATGTAAGGGAGTCAAACAGAGACAGGAATGCTACTGGCATTTGTCATTATTTTTAGGATATAGCACAAACAGTGGATGTCTAAGTGCACTTTTGACAAGTTTTCCCACTATGAATCCCTAAACAGTTGGAAATATCAAAACAGGGAAAATGAATGAGACACTTTGTCAGATCTTTTTTTTTTTTTTTTTTTTTTTTTTTAAAAACCATTGAAACTGCAACAATTAACTGAATGCTACTTCCTGCATTGTTGATTAGCCAACCATTTCCATCATTAGAAATATTCATTAAGTTATTTTTTAAGCATAATGCCAAACATTTGATGCTTTCAGCTTCTGGAGTGTGAGGATTTGATGCTTTTCTTCGTCATAAATCATAGTAAACTGAACATGTTTTAGTTTTGGACTGCTGGTTGGACAACACAAGATATTTAAAAAACGAAATGATAATTTCCCTGTCTTTTCTGACACTTTACAGACCAATAATAAATCCAGAAAATGACCAACATATGGAATGTGTGTAAGTCAGGAACACCAGGGCTTCGTCATGTAAACAAATGTAAGCAGACCTCTCTGTGCCTGTGTTACTGCAATGCAAGGCGTGTTCCCCCACTTGCTTTTAAATGCATCTTATGATCCCACACGAAACTTAAAAGCCAGACAAAGTCAGACACTAATACAAACAGTACGTCAGCAAGTGAGACTGTTGAAAAGAATGACTGTGCTTTCCTGTCACTTATTGTCCTTCTGCCTCCGTTCCGTGTGAGGCAAGATTGTTAAGATTTACAAGTGACCTGTTGTTGGCCGTCTATGGCGTAAACCAAGGAATCTTGCGAGGAGTAGAAAGAAATGCAGACGAGAGCGATAAGAAAACATGACCTCAGTTTCAAACAAGAGAAAAAAACTGACCTTAAAGATACCACAAAAAACAGTATATGATTGTCATTTCGCCGTGTAAGCAAAATGTCAGGCTGCAGGCTTTTATGTTCTCAGAAGAACAAATAAAGAGGTGTTTCATGATAGACAGATTATCCACATCAACAAGGGTTAGTGTTACATAACGTGAGGTGTAGGCTAAGAAGGGTTAACGCCACATTAAGAGCCAAGGAGCTGCAGCAAGCGGGATTAATGAGTCACCACGCTCATTAGTAAACACAGTGTGCTCAGGGTGAATCAATGACCTATCTGTGCAGACTTGCTGCGTGTGGAAACTAGGGATTGTATATAGGGAGGTAGAGAAATAAACAATAAAAACAAGAGGAAGTTACTCACTGTTGGGTCTGCTGTTATGTGTCTGCTGTCACCCAGGACATCAGGAAGTGGCTCAGGTTTGCCCTGGTTTGAGATGAAAAAGTCAGGAATGTTAACAGACATAATAACAGACCACGTTCGACTGCAATTTAACCATACAACTACACTTGTGAAATGTGTGAATAGTTAACGGCACACAAACTGATGTGTTTAAGCACAGAAAAAAATCAGAAACATTTTAAGCTTCCCTCCTTTCTTTCACATTCAAATCAAAATGTATGCATGTCTATATATTCTGTTAAAACCCTATATTTCTGCACAGTTTAGCAATAAAGATTATGCATTAATATTATTAGCATTAAATTAGATTCCAGTGGTGGCTGTGCTGGTTTGTGTGTGATCTGAACATTTCCAATAACTTCAGTCCAAAAGTCAACATGTAATCTAAAAACGTAGATATTAAATATCTATATGTATGAATCTATTTATTCAAATGATGGACTTTGAATCTTAAAAAGAGATATACATTTTCACACTGATGTTGAGAACAGTTATTTCATGTCATTATAAACACTGACCTGCAGTTTGACGTATCCCACACTGTCCCCTGTGGGAACAGGGGCCGGCATGGGAGTTAAGCCGATCCCTGCGTACTCATTGCTGGGGTCGTCTTCTCCATCAGAGGGGCCCACCGTCAGCGTCACCGTGGACTGAGTGGGGGCCAAGGGGAAGGCAGGCTGAGGGGTTGGGGGAAGGGGCCTCTCCTGGATCCAGCTTCCTTTACGCGAGCCCATCCCGCCTCCTGAAGACTTCCCATCAGGCACTGGGAGCGCGGGCAGCGGCCTGCGGGACAGGGAGTCCTGGGAAGGCAAACGTGGTCGACCCTGAGCCTGCAGGAGGAGGGCGCTCTCCTCCAGGGAGCGCTGGACCAGCGTTAGCAGCCCCTCGGAGGGAGGGGCGCTGCCGAAGGCGGATAGCGCCGGCAGGAGGTCGGAGAGGCGAGCCCACGTCTGCTGGAAAGGGGGGGGGGGTCGTCGGAGAGACACGCTTTCCAGGTGGAGAGGATCTCAGCCAGCGAGGTGGCCAGGTCCCGTGACGACAGCGTGGAGGCGGAGCTCAGAACCGAGTGGACGAGGTTGGAAAGCGTGACCCTCCACTGCATGTCCCCCGATCCGTTACTCGAGACAGAGAGGCGGCGAGTGGAGGTGGACGAGGTCGACAGAGAGTGAGCGAGGAGTTCGGTAGTCAATGCAGGCATGTCGTAGATGCCACAGTCGGGCTCACAAGAGTCCCGGTTCTGATAGCCGCTGCTGGCTCGTTTCTCCGGGCCGGGGACACGGTAGATCTGTCCTACGTCGTCTCCGGAGTGACTGAGGGTGGAGTCTCCCGGACCCAGAGGGACACCAGGAAGCGTGGGGACACTGTAGACATCGTCATCAACTTCATCAGGCTGGAAGTCAGAGACATTCAGAGTGATGGAGGGAACATCATAGACCTGCAAGTGAGGGAAGAGAAAGGAAATGTTTATACATCACGTTGTTTACTTTATGATTGTGAGGGCAGATGATAACTGTAACAGAACGTATGCATGGTGTTAAAACACAATATGGGGTTTCTGTGGCATTGGGGGATCAAATCGATTTTATTCATTGTTTTGGGGGAATATCTGCAGCAAGAACGTTATACCGAAAGATGGCCTTATTGATGTTTCTAGTCCTTATGTCACATTAAAATAATAATATTGGTTGGCGGTCATTGATTAGGCAAATGTATAGCACGCCAAAAAGGCCTTTAACGCAGATATTTTTCAAAATTTGAATCTTTTTTGGTTATTTTATGACATTCCACTAAAAGGTTGTATTGTAAATTGGTATGCTTGGATTTGGGTTCATTCAAAGTAAGTGTAATCAAAGCCTAAATGACTTTAAAACAGTTATTTTATTTTTTATAATGAAGATTTCATTCTGTTTACCTTGCAAAGAGAGTTGAATAAATGACGCAAAAAAAATAAAATTGCCGTCGGGCATAAATGTTAATTTAAAACTCGGTATCAGCTCAGAATTGTACCATTGATGAACCCGTAGTAACATGTTTGGTCATGTTGGTTTCGATTGAAGACTTCTTTTAAACCTGGCTTGTGCTTGGATGACCAGACTGAACTTGTTAAAGTAAAAAAACTGGCGTCATAGAGTCACCACAAACACCAGAGACACATGTCCTCTTAAACAGCTAAAAGCACATACAGTTATTCCAGGCAAAGAGGGAAACACCATAACAGCTGGTGGACATATTTAGGCAACATTAGAGGGGAGACCACTGGGGGCAGGGTGCTGCTGCGGCCTTGGCATGGCTCTGACAGGCGGGTGTGACTGAGAGAAAATAGCAGCAGCACTGAAGACTGGATAGACAGGCTCCCCCAGCAGAGAGAGACAGGTGTGGCCTTGCCTAGAAGGGGGGGGCAGGGAGACACGCTGATGGCGGAATGTGGGAAGAAATGGGGACCGGGTATCTGATAGTCATCTCTCGGTGGGGAATCGTGACACTTGTACAGACATGATTTCAACAGTTTACAGTGGCTTTTGACTGTCCTGAAACTAAAGGAGCTGCGTGATTATAGGCCAAACACATGTAGGAGGAAAACCACTGAATAGCCTGTGTTGCTGAAGTTTAACGGCTGCGAAGTGACTTTGAAAAAAAAAGGGGCTGCAACTATTTTCAGTATCGATTAATCCGCAAATTATTATAAAGTAGTTTGAAAAGTACATTGTCGTTTCTTAAGTCAAAGGTATTGTCATTTTGTCATTTAAAAACAGGAAGATGTAATTCTAATATGACGTAAAACAAGGAAAAGCCAGAAACCTTTACATTTGAAAAGGTGAGAACAGCATTTTCTGACTGTTTTACATGGAAGTTACTTTAACCAATCATCTGTTGTGTCAAAAAAGTTGGTGATTATTTTTTCTCTCAATCAATGAATCATTGCAACAGACAATACATCTAATTTAAATGAAATCCCCCCCATTTGAAAAACAACTCTTTCTGTGGCTGTTTCTTTACCTCATTCTCAGAATCCCCTAGCGATGGGAGACAGCGGGGGGTGTCATAGATCCCATTATCGTCCTCATCACCAATGGAAGATGGGACTTGACGCTGCCACCTGCCGCTGGGAGGGGTGTCATATATCTGCCAAGACGACAAAAGCCCAACATCAAGTTATGCTGCAGGTCTTGGTCGACAGAAATGTATCAAAACACAACAAAACTCAGACCACATGCAAATTCTCACAACAGAGGAATTTGGAATATAAACATGTCAACGCCTGCTAAGCAACACAATTCAAGCACACTAAATAACCCTTTTAAAATCATGACATACCTGATCGTCCACAACATCTGAATCCTGATGTTCTCCTTTTTTGTTCTGCATGTTGTTGCTTTTCTCCAGCCCGTTACTCATCCTCTCCTCCTTGCTCTGAGGAACCCCCCTCTGTTTGTCCTCCTCTTGCTGCAGGCTTACAGGAGTGACCTGAGCGGTGGGTTTGGGTGAGTTAGCATCTGCTGACGATGCTGAATCTTTCCTGGTGACTCCCCTCACTGGAGGTGCTGGTGGAGGGGGTTTGCGCGTGAAATTTGGCGATCCAGGAACCCTGACCTGCCCTGCTCTGATCAGCATAGGAGACCCCCGGTGACCCCCCAGGCCGGGTTTACCCCTGGCTGCCGCTGGGTTGGGTAAAACTCCCTTTAGCAAAGGTCTGGGAGATGCTTGGGCAGGGGATACTGGAGATGGGTGCTGATGGGCCAAAACAGTGGCTTGAGTCCTGTGGAGGCATGCTCCAACAGCGGTGGGTGTTTGGTACATCTCAGGTGAGCCCTGGCTTGCTTTAGAGTGGGGGGTACCGGGTGTTCCGCCATTCAAGCAAAAAGCAGTGGCTAGAATCCCTCCTGTTGGAGATTGGTAAACATCTTCCCCTGCAAGCGGCGTACCTTTAGGCACCAAGTAACAGTCGTCTGAGTGTTCTGTGGTTACTGTTTCTCTTGGAAATAGATATGTAGTGTCCTCTGGTTCATCGGCAGCCCTTGGAAGTCCTGTGGGGGCGAGGTACACGGACTCTGAATCCATGAGAGCTGCAGTAGGCATGGGACTGACTGGAGACTGATAAAGTGTTCCTGATGTTTCCGTGCCTCGTCCTCTGAGGGAGGGTGAGCGCGGACGTCCCCCGATCCCTAAATCCCAGTCAGGTCTGGGCCGGGTGCCAGAGCTGGATTGTGAGCGCGGGCGCCCGGCCTCGACTCTGCGGAGCTCCCCCGGCCTCGAGGCAGCCACTCGGCCCTCACCCGCGCATGGAGGGGAGCGATACACTCCGTCTAAGTCCTCTGCACTGCTGCTGACAGCAGAGCGAGCCAGTGGGGGGACAGGGGAAAGGTAAACAGAGTCCTCAGTGGAGCCTCGACGGGGATCAGAGTCCGGTGGTGGGGCGGTCTGGAGGAGACGGAGGCGGTTGGCAGGGACAATGCCCTGTCGGCCATGCAGGGAGCAGAGCCACCAACCCGGCCCACCACCCTGCTCCTGTTCAAGAACCATCAGTATGTCACCCTTCCGGAAAGCCAGCTCCTCCGGGCTCTCTGCCGCGTTGTCAAACAGCGCCTTTGCCAAAACCGTCTGAGAAACAGGACGAGACGACAAGAGTAGAAAACATAAACACGCACCCTCCTGTTCAGCATCTCTCACACCAAATGGCCATTTAAAGTAGCTTTTAATTCACACAAGCAGTGTCTCGCATCAGCACACCACAAACAAACAAGTACATTGACATGGCGATGAAAAGTCAGGGGTATAAAAAGGTTGATTGTTCAGGGCTATTGAAAGAAGAGTGAATAGGAGTGAATAGGGAAGATCTCTTAAAATGTCTATGAGAGATAAAGAGGGACAGGAAAAGGAGGGGTAAGCACAAAAATGAATAATATAAAAGCTAGAATCATGACCGAACTCAAAATTCACAGCTGTGTCAATAATTATGAGCGGGGGGGGGGGGCGCACTGTCAGGGAGGATCAATGATCAGATGGACGCAAGGGCTTAAATGGTAATGAGCGGGATGAGAGGGAGGGGGAGGGGATGAGAGGCACATCTGTCCCTCGCTGTTTAGAATTTAATTGCCCATCGCAAAGCCAGAGTCAGGCCCCCTTTCATTTTCTAAACCAACCCCCTGGGGACAGCTGGGCTCTATTGAGCCATGTGGGACCCCCTAAAACAGTAATGGAGGCAATGAGGGTCGAGATAAAAATAAATAGATACAGTAGATAATATACATTTTAGAGGTAAAAACATATCCTTTTTAAAGTTTCAAGTTAGTTTTGATCACATTTGTGCATTACCATCAGAAGACTACATGCAAATTCCTAAGAGTACATGCAAATGAATACAAACAAAAGAGACAAATACTGTACTCACGGAGACAGACATTGTTGCAAAGTTATCAGTTGTGTCTCAGGAAAACTATAACTCAGTCGGGGTAGTCCATTTAGAGCAGGATCTGGTTTTCATGGATGTGTTGGTCTCCGGAGAGGCTCGGTGCAGAAGCACAGCTGAGTCCGGGATCGACACATGTTTAAAGTCCCGGCGCCTCGTCGTCTCTGCCTTCATTCGATCCCTGCATAGGTGTAACACACAATTTCTTCACGACACATTCATAACACACCGTGACGGTTACTCATACGTTGCGAGGCACATGTGCAATGAAAGGTGGGCAGGCAGCGACAACACCTGTCTCTACTTTCCACGCCCAGTAACGTGAATGCAGCCCGCTAAGCGAAAGCTAAGGTTAGCTTAGCTTTGTAGCTAAATAAGTGGTGTGCACCATGGATGTATAACGACAACTGGATACACCGTTCATTTATATGAGAGTTGCTCAGTGGCGCATGAAGCCCAAATAGGAGCGAGAAAGTACCCGGATGACCCGGGGCCTTTTGCTTATTGAGCATGCGCACTGGAGTTTCCCTCCCATCTCGCGCTCTCGGCTCTGTCAAATGACTGAAGAGAAAATAACTCTCGATTCAGCTTTAAGCGCATATTTTAGACTCCAATGATTCAAATAAGAGCTATTAAAGTGTTCATGCTTGGCTGTTTAGTTAGCTCAAAACCGATAACACGCTGATTTACAGACGACTCTTTCCCACTGTAAGTCAATAGGAAAAAGTATTTGCGGGCCAAAATGACGTCACTGAACGTGTAGTACCACCATTTGGCCACTACGGCCATTCCAAAAACTGGCTTCAACGGACGGCGCACTTCCCGGGGGCTTGATTTGCACTCGTCTTTAAATACATGTTCTATCGTTAACCAGGTTTAAATTATACACTATTAGAAAAGGAATAAGCTACAGAAAAGCGAGCTGTGTTGTCGCGGCCTACCTACCACCATTAGCCAGATGCTGTTAGCAATGATACCGCTGGTTATCTTCATTGCCTTTCGCTGCTAACGCTAAAGTTCATGTTAAAAACAACAATAGCACCGCCGGGTAAAAACAGCTACAAGCAACCTGTTTACCAGCCAATGTAAGCACCAAAAACAGCCAATGTAAAACAAGTACCTTGCTTCTTTTCGCCCATAAACTTCGCTTCGATGTACAGTCTATGATACGTAAAATCACTTCTTTTCAAGCGTGAAAATCTGAGGCCATCGGCGTTCAATCATTTTCGTCTATGACAACAACATTATCTCCGCCCCCTACGAGGTGACGCTTTTCACTGATCTACATAGCATAGCATGGGTGTCCATTGCAGACTTTAGACCCATCCAGCATCTGTTAAATCGTGTAGATATCCCCAGCCTGGAAACACAGCAGCTGCGTGATTGGCTGGCGGTTTCCAGTTGCGTTCATGGACGTCCGAATTTCTCCGTAGACCAGAAAATGAGCTTAAAACTGCGGGATTAAAACTACAAATATGCCCCAAACTATCAATATCACATAACGGTGCAACACAATTCCAAATGTCCTAATCATATTGCATCATTTTTTGGACGGAATTGGCAGTACAATCCAATTAAGAGCAGACAAGCTATTGCTAGAGGCTTTTATTTTGACAGCGGGACTATTACCCCGGAAAACACTGAATGTAGCACGAATCGTCTGTAGTAAGGTCCAAGCAGTAAACTTTGACACTCTTTTAAGAAATTCTTCCACAGTCCAAGCTCATATTCAGTATTGCATGAACGGCAGGGTGAGACAACGCTCTTTTTGCACATTAGTTCATTATTGTAGTCAACACTGAGTCAAAGTATACATTTAAACTGAGATTTACCTTTGTATATAAATAGCGATCATGTATTTTATCATTGCTTTCTCTTCACCTTGTTGTGTATTATTGATTTAAATTAGTGACAAAGTGGTTTCCAACTTAATTTACTGTTATATTTCAGCTACACTGCTGTCAAGAGTCCAGACGACCTCTACCCTAGATACCCAGTGTTCTCATAAAACAATATTTGTTACTATTCTCTATCCACAGGTGATGTTAAGAAGTGTATTCGGGTGCCTTAGGACCAACCCTGTTTCTTGCCAAAGGAACATGTCTCAAAGTAGCCTTGCTGGAAAGATAGCCATAGTCACTGCCTCCACAGATGGGTAAGAACTAGCTGTTTAACTCTTGTTTTGTCTGTACTGCAATAAAACCTACTCAACAGTTAGTAAGAAACTGACTTTGGCAATAGTTAACTGCTGTCCTGGAAAAAGCAGTGGTTCTGAAAGGATAATAAAAACATTCAAATTGATGTCAAATATCAATGGAGAAAGCCCAGCGAATACAATTAATTAAAGATAAGATGTATCAAGCTTGTTTCCAAAATCATTGGGCAATATGAGTTTCGGCCCCTGCTGGAATTTATCTCTAGCCTAAAAAAGACACGAAACGTTACAAATGTTTTTAATAACCAGCCAAATCAGCATCATTATTTAACAGTTAGCATACTGATTAATCTTGATAGAGGTATTATATCATGGCCAAAAGACCATTATTCTCTTACCCCTGTCTCCTCTTCAGAATTGGCCTAGCTGCAGCTCAGGCTCTGGGTAAGAGAGGAGCCCATGTGGTGGTGAGCAGCCGGAGACAGGCCAACGTGGACAAAGCCGTGGCCCTGCTGCAGAGCCAAAGCATCACAGTGACCGGGACCACCTGCAACGTCGGCAAGGAAGAAGACAGAGAAAAACTGGTTCAATTAGTGAGTATCTTTATAATTCTAATAACCATGCATATTCATAATTTTGAGATTTTCAGTGATTCAATCCAGTTCTTACCTCATTAACAGCCCTATTCTGTGTTTGGAACAGACTCTGGATCAGTGCGGTGGCATTGATATCCTGGTGTCCAACGCAGCAGTTAACCCTTTCTTTGGAAACATCATGGACTCCACTGAGGGCGTCTGGGACAAGGTACACACATACAGAGAGGCCAATTTGTTTAAAGGATTTTAATTCAGAATATGTTATGGGAGCATTTCGTCGTTTCTTTCTAGATCCTGTCTGTAAATGTCACATCAGCCTTCCTCATGACTAAGTTGGTGGTGCCTCATATGACAAAGAGGGGGTGAGTAACGAACAAAACCGTGATCCGGACAAAAATACTATAAAAATGTATGTTTATTGACAAATGCTCTGTATTTTTCTTTTTAGAGGAGGAAATGTAGTATTTGTGTCATCTGTGGCTGGATACCAACCAATGCAGGTCAGTGACAGTTATATCATACTAAAACACTGGGACGGAATATCTTTTTTCATTTCCTACATATCCGTGATAATACTGACATACCTTTACTTAAGTAAGGTTTTAAATGCAGGGCTAATAGTGGAGTATTTTTTACTAGTAATATTGATTACTTTAGTAAAAGGATGTGAGTACTCCCACCATTGATGAGCATAGAAGTAGAACAAGCAAATGTATATTGACATATAGAGCTAATAAGTAATTATATATTTTAATTCCAGTGTCATGTTTTGTTGTCATTTTGTAAACGGTTGTGTTTGTATATGTTATGGACACTGTGTCTCTGCAGGCTCTGGGCCCCTACAGTGTGAGTAAGACGGCTCTGCTGGGTCTGACCCGGGCCCTGGCTCCTGAGCTGGCTCAAAGTAACATAAGAGTCAACTGCGTGGCCCCTGGAGTCATCAAAACGAAATTCAGCAGCGCGGTGAGGAGAAAAACATAAATTTATCTTTGTATCACTCTTATTTATAAGTCTCTATAATAACCAGAGATGGCAAAAGTACACACATCCTTTACTCAAGTAGAAGTACTGATATTCATGTTTAAAAATTATCTGGTAAAAGTAGAAGTACTGACTAAACTTCTTTACTCAAGTAAAAGTAAAGAAGTATGGACTTTCGAAATGTACTTCAGTAAAAAGTACCCATAACTCCCAGCTGTTTTAAAGAGTACCTGACCTCCCTTTATATTAATAGAACAATAATGTCATTGTTAGCTAATGAATGTTTCCATGCTGAACAATGGCAACATGACAACGTTTTCATTGGTCCCTCTTCTTTAGAGAAGACCAGGAAATGACGGATACCTGAATCGTGTTCAAATCAATAGGCACGCAATGACTCTAAATAATAATGATCACGCCACCAAACACACATTCAAACTAAAGGAACCAGCCTGTTTGGAAAATGTGAGAAGTAGAAAGTTCAGGTATTTTAGTTAAAAATGTAAGAAGTAAAACTAAAAAGTTGTCAGAAAAATGTGTAGTGGTGTAAAGTACTGATACCAGAACAATTTACTTAAGTACAGTAACAAAGTATTTGTACTCCATTACTTTCCACCTCTGATAATAACACATGGCTGTTTTTGTGGCAGTTAACGGGGAGCGAAGACATCATGGACGAGTTCAAAAAGCATATGAGCATTAAAAGGTATGCTCACATGGGAATGTATCACCAATATGCCAGACAATACACACATGAGCAACATATTTAATATGTTCACGTTTATCTCCCTATAGAGTGGGAGAGCCAGAGGAGATCGGTGGAGTGATTGCCTTCTTGTGCTCGGAGGACGCATCCTACATCACCGGAGAGACCATCACTGTGACCGGGGGGATAGGCTGTCGACTCTGAAGCTCTAGGGCCAATAAAAGTGTGTGTGTATATGTTTTGATTACATTTTGACTTGAAGTGCGGACGCAGCCAGAATAAAGCTTCATATTATACCATTCAAGCAAGACATGTAAAATTCCTTACTAATTATTGAAGATTTTAGTTTTTCTCTGTGATGATTGTGATATTCTGTGAATTTGAAGGATTTCTAATCTGATAGTTGTGATAAATAATTTCATCCTCACAATCTACTAGATGTGTTAATTCAATAGGAAGTTCTTTCAGTGATCATGTCATGATGAACCAGTGCTTAAATTATAAAACGTTATACTTCTCTTTCATATCAAATGCAGCTTTAAATAGCTTTTTGTGAGATACATCACTTACACCAGTTTAAAACAGACAGTATGAGAAGTACACTGAACACTAGAAAAGGTGGAATTTATTCAATCTAAATTCAAAAATGATGAGCTTCGGTCCATAACAGAATGCTGCTTAATATACTATTGATAAACCCACTTGTGGAAACGTTTTTCAAATTGTTTCTTTACTACTTCCACACATCTCAAATTGCATTTATTTGATTCGTTCCCATTACAGGACTGTCTCAGAAAATTAGAATATTGTGATAAAGTTCTTTATTTTCTGTAATGCAATTAAAAAAACAAAAATGTCATACATTCTGGATTCATTACAAATCAACTGAAATATTGCAAGCCTTTTATTATTTTAATATTGCTGATTATGGCATACCTGAGACTGCCAAGGCA